TATCCAATGCTCATTGCGAACTCTGCAATTTACAAAAGAATCAACGACTATGGAAACGGAGGTGGTGGAGCGGCTAATGGGGGACGCCTACCACGCGCATAGTCCGGGGTCAAATCCTGGATTGGCTTCCGCCCGGGCAACTAAGCCTTCTACCCCCGGGGAAACTTAGTTGGTGCTAAACTCATCTGGGAGGATATAACACTGACTTGTGCCAGCTGGCTCCCGCAAATTATTGTATAAGCCACATCGCATTCAATAAGCCACTACGATTCTGAATGGGAGTAGAATGCGTCTCGCATCCCACAAAGGGATTGATCAATAACAAGAGTTTCATCTTTCGTCAACCTCTGGCTGCGGCTCCAGAGTGTCGGTATACGGTTGCCATTTCTTGACTCTGGCCAGCCAAAATCTTACCCGACTTCGGTCAGAATAGGTGCAGCTTATCGTCGATAAGAATTATATATTGCAACATTGTGAACAACATCCACTCTGCTTACAGCGCAGGTTTTAGCTCACTCGACTTTCGCAGGGTGACCGAGGTAGGCGTGCTACTTGTCACTACAGCCCTACCTTCCAGAGGCGATAAAGTGGTACCAAATTCATTTGGGAAAGCTAAGAACACTGATCTGTATATCGGCTGGCCCCGCAAGTCATTGTATATGCCTACATCGCATTCAATAAGCAACTAGGAACCTACTGGAAGCGAATGCGTGCCGCATCTCCAAATGAAAATTAAGCAACGGCGGAGACTTCATTTTTTTTCGTCCATCAACTATGAACCCTGTTGTAGGGCAATCTATGAGCTCTATCCGATGCTATGCGGAATAATAATCTAAAGCTCTATTTTCAGAGCTTCAAAGCAGCATTCAAACTAAAACGGAGACTGTCTAGAATATTGCTCTCAGAAGTACTGATGAAACAAACGACCAACAAATAAACAGATAAAAAAAATAGCAGCAGCCCAAGTCAATTTCAATGTGGAACTGAAGTTCCACAGGGTGCTCAATGCCATTTTGTGACCCAAGGAGGAATGGAAATTGATTTGAGCTCTGAACTAAACAAATGACCTGAGCAATCAAGGAACAGTTCCAGTAACAAAGACAAACGAGAGCTAACGTATAATCCTACGAGCATCTGGGCTTGAAGAAGGAACCGATATACATGGACATTCTCAAGACATCTCGTTTGAGAGCTAATAGCTTGAACTCCCTCCTAACAAAATAGTTCAACAACGAAAAAATGAAAGTTTTCCGCCACAATGCGAATGCTTGGAGCATGCCGCGAGGGCGCTAAACAAACAAATGATGAACGTAGGCACATGTATGATGTCACTCAAGAGAAATACATTTGAAATTAGAATCCAAGGCTAGCATATGTGCACCATTTGCGATGACTCAGTAAAAGTCTAATATATTCCTCATTGATTTAGCCTGGACTAAAACTGTTTCCACTGACAGGTCCTACCACAAGCCCCAAGAGAGTTCAGACGTATGGCGCCGTGACTATTGATTACGGCTGAACTCTTCGTATCATAGCAGCACAGATAAACTATCTTGCTGATTCGACAACTTTATAACTACGATACCACTCAATCGTGAAAGAGTTATAAGGAGAAAAAGAATCATAATAATCCACAATAGGGAGTCAGCTATTATAAAAACGACAAATCTACACAATTTTATGCAAAAATCAACTTCTTATCCTGAAATATGTCTGTTTTTAAATTTTTAGATTTCTATTAAACCATGTT